TTTTTTTTTTTGAGATGTAATGCGATCATTCTTTTATATGTAGAGAAAAATAAAAGTGAAATAGAATAATCTTTCAAAAGCTGTTTGCACAATCCCTTGCGAGATTAAAAACGTGAAACACGATGAATCTATTGTTACTAATAAAATGGAAATCCTTTTGTTCCATTTCTTCGCGATACATTTGTAGCTAACCGTTTATCTGATGCTTTAGAACTACAGTTTCTCTGCCACGGTATCTGATGGTCTCGGGAATTCTCTGTCATGGTCTGTGATGGGGGAGGTGGGGAAGGGGAGTGAGTGCAAAATTTCTACCCTATACACTTCAACACTCCTTTCAGATCGTGTTTTACAAAAAAAAGTACAAGGAAATACGTAAATGGCGTATAATATATAGAAAAAGTTCGATCTCCTAAGCGATAACTTATGAGTAAGAATTTGGATGAAGTGTGCTGAAGTATGAACGAAACAGAGCTTTCATTGACCCCCTTATGAAACATATACTTTCAAATAAAAAACATGAACTATCAAATACAAAGGCCATCACGTACTAAAAATATGCAAGTCACGACGACTTGAAGTTCGGAATGCATCAGCTTTATTCTCATAAGATTATTGATATTCTTTGAGATATACTTTGCAAATAATGTAACTGTTCATTGATGTCATCAGTAATATATGTAACATAGGGCATAATTATACATTTTTTGGTCTATTTTACTAGAGTTGATAGCCAAAAGTGACGAAATCAATGGTTATATATAGCTCTCTTGGACTGCAATATCGTTAAAATCCCAATGTTTCCTATATGATTTTTCATAATTATCTTAACTGTTTTTCTAGTTTTTAGCTGCGTCGGGAAAAATGCTTTATGCTACTAGACTCAGCTCGTCGAGCTCTACAACCTGGGATATCTCCCATTCGAAACGGCGATCCACACTTGGGGACCTTCCCTCGATAGATTTGAAAGTTTCAACACTAGAATTCATTTATCTTTATATATTTTATCTGATCAATTCGTTCAAGAATAACTTAATCAGTACTAGCAAAGAAAATATTCATTCAGATAACAATTTTTTCTCAAGCAGAAATTTTTTGTATTGATTTATAACTAACACGAACAAGTCGAAAAACAAGATGAGAACACTACACCTCTTGATTTTGACTGTCAATTCAATATTCTCATTCGTATGATTTTCCGACAGAAAAGATAAAATAAAATTCGTTAAAGACTCGAGTTAAAATCTAAGTTAGATTCAATGAATCATGATCCATTAGAAAATTATTTCTGTTCCCATAACCCCGACACGCACACCAGGGGTCCGTCTGGACCCCAACCAGTTTTATTTAAGTGTCATTCGCACACAACGTCAGATAAAATCCCCCTTCTCTAGATATGCTCTAGTGAAGATTTGTACTATACGTAGCTGACGTCAGCCGTTCGTCACAATTAGTTGTTTATATGATAAACTACCTGGAAGTATGTGTGAACGCTTGTTGACCACCTGGGGTCCACCCGGACCCCAGTGAAATTCTGTTTAATTTTTTTAATTGTAGCCTTAAATTGGGTCTTATTCTTTCCCGTACACTTTAGGTACACCTAGTAGAGTACGCTGATGACAACAATAAATTAGACCGATGCTGTAAAAACGAGCGTTACTTCAGGAACAATGAGCTTTCAGTGACAATACATGTTGCCGAAATATCAGTTCTAAGAAAAATGAAATTATGCTATGAAAAAGAGCAATGTAAAAAATATTGAAAAAATGCTATTAAAATTAACTGCTGTTTTGTTTGTTCTTCTTAGACATAAGTCTTCTTCAGAGCCATTATGGTTCTATTACAAAACAATGGTAATATAGTATATTGTTTTCATTTTATCAGGCGGGGGTCCGTACGGACCCCAGGTGGTCAACAAGTGATAGCCTGAAAGGTGGTCGTGTTAGGGTTAAGTTTCGACTAAAGATTTGTTTATGTAATTTATTAACTAATTCATCGAAAAACAAAGAGAAAACACCAGACGAATTTGAATTTACTCTATTTGCATGAGAACAACTTTGTTTTCTTTTTCTCAATAAATGTCTTAATGAATAATGATGATCAGAAAATAATGTTTGGTGTTTTTGATGAATAGTCGACCAAAACAAAATCTGAAATTGACTTTTAACATCACAAGTTACATATAATGGTCGATTTTTTTTGTATTTATATAGTTAATAAATCTGTTGTACCACATAATTGTAAAACAAATATACTTTCTTTATCATGTTCATCATATGAAAATTATCGTTTATTTCTTCATCGAACTAAATGGAAATTAGCTGATTTATTTTCATCAAAATCAAATATAGGAAATCATATATTGAGAATGATGATCAGCTAGTTCATCATAATGAATTAATTCGTTTAGGAAATTATATTGATTCATACAAATTATTTATTAAAAATCATCCTAACAATTATTATCTTTATCAATCAATGCATGATGATAGAAATTATTCTCAATGGTATATTATCAATTTATCAGTTTTATAACATTATATTTTTACTAGATATCTATCCAGCAAGCACCACATGTAAAACATTTAACACCTAGAAATTGTTTATAGGAATATTTCAGGCTGTAGAGTCTCATAAAGTCATTTTTTTTTGAATTTCTTACTTTTTTGTTGAAGACAAACAGTAACAAATCAAGCAAGGCATGAAACTTTCAAAAAAAGGTGACATTATAAAATAAAATGCTATTTGCATGTTCGAGGGATACAATCGATTATTGAGAGGGGAACTGAAGGAGGATTGAAAATGAATTAATTACTACAAAATGTTTTTAGTATTTGTAATTCGTTGATGATATTTAATAAAATTGCATGTTCAAGTAAAAA